AACAGGAGTCCCCTTTGACTCCCTTCTCTGTGGACCTTGCTCTCAACTGGTTCTTCCTGCATCTCATGGCCATGGTCTCAACCGCAGGCTCCATCTTGGAGAACACGCTGGGCAGGCCCTGTGATGCTGTGGTCCTGCGCCTCCCACGCCGCCTGCGCCTCCCACGCCACCTGCCCCACGTGATCCACCTCAGGAGGATGGGGGAGCCCCCATTTATCAGGGTACCACCTCGCGCAGACGTGCTTTCCTCCTGCTTTGTGTGTTTCTCCCAGGGAGTGTCTAGGAGGGGTTATCATCCCCAGTTGATAAATGTGGAAACTGAGGCCCAGTGGGGCTGGTGATGCGCCTAGAGCCCCACTGCTAATAAGCAGCAGCCTCAGGATCCAGACCTCGATCTGTTTCCTCTCTACAGTCACGCTCTTTTCATCTTACCTGGTAGGTCACTTCACCTGTTTCAACTGCAGGTCAAAACAAGGGAAAAATAAAATTAGGCAGTGGGCTTGGACTAGCTCAGTGTTTCTCAGCTCCGGCTGCATGTCCAGCTCTCCTGGGGAGCTTTGAAAAGAACAGACGCTCGGCCTACTGCCAAGGACTCGAACTCAGCTCCCGGTGTGCTTTAAAACTCCCCAGGTGATTCGAAAGGGCAGTGGGTTGAGAGCCCCCTGGTCTGGAGCAGGGCTTCTGATGCTTGCACTGCATCCACAGCCCCTGGGATTGTGCTAAAATGCGGATTCTGATCCAGTACGTCTGTGGTGTGGCCTGAGATGCTGCACTTGTAACGAGCTCCCAGGTGATGCTGAGTAGCGAGGGTCTGAATGATCTCTAGGTTTCTGTCCCCTTCCAACATGCGGTGACGATGGAGAAAGCTGTTCTGAAGCACAGGTTCTGTGTCCACCGAGCGTCCCGCATTGCTGTAGCCTCTTCATCCTTATCTGCTATGCATAAGCAGTATTTCTGTTGATGGACAAAATATGTGAAAGCCAAACGCCAGTAACGGTGGATCATGGGACAGAGTGAATGGGCGTGGATGTGCAGTGGGTTCATATGCCAGGTCTGTTGCTTATCAACTGTGTGAGTTTAGGCAAGTTACTTAATCTCTCTGAGCCTTAATTTCCTCAACTTCAAATTGAGGATCATAAACCCTTAGTGTCTTGGGATATCAGGAGGATGAACTGGGTTAATATAGACAAAGGACTTTGAACCAAAAGGTGCCTAATAAACGGCCAGTGCTGTCATCCTGGTAAACTTTGCAGCTGATCTCATCTTGTCATCCAGTTCTCTGCAGGTCAGAGGAACCTTGATCTGTGCCCTCTGCAAGGATCACCAAGCACAGAGCAAAGTCTGCCTTTGGTCTGAATGTCAGGTGACTCTCCGACATAAGGAATTTCAGGGCCCAGAGCCTTCAGGCCAGCGTCTCTGTCCTTGCCTTGAGAATGACAGCGATGGAGGAACTTTTCATTTCCTCCCTTCTCTGGATTGTCACATTATCTCCCCATGGCTCCTCCCTGCCTACCTGCGGCAGATTCCCCAGTGAGTTTTGGTATAAAAACAGAGAACATTAACTCGTAAGGTGTTGGCTTCAGTGCTGTTTTCAGACCGACCATCGGTGGTCGTTTATTCAATCAGATATTCATCGGGTGCCCAGGTGCCAGGACACAGGGATGAAAAACTTCTCAGTCTCTGTCACCCTGGAGTTTGTTGAGTGGGGGGTCAATGTTGAACAAATAAAAGACACAATTGCAATTGTGGAAAGTGCGACGAAGGAAAACGACAGGGTACCCTGAAAGAGAATATTAAGAGCTTGTGACACCATCAACTTCCATTAAGAAGCGCCTTCTGACAGATGCCACTGTGTGGACTGGGCTGGAGCAGGGCGAGACGGAGGAGGACAGACAGGGGCTCTCATGGTGGCCCGGGCCCGGGTGGTGGCGGGGAGCTGGGGAGAAGTTGGTGGAATCAAAACTGGGAGCAAATGCCCTTCATTTGCTTAATTATCATGAAGTGTCAGGGTGTATAATTCCCCGCCTTTTACTTGATACAGAAGACAGTATGTCATCATCACCAAAAATTCTAACCGGCTATGTGGTTTTGGGCCAATGGTGTTCCCTCTGTTGGCCTTTTCATTCATTCATTCATTCATTCATTCTTCATTCTGTAAAATAGTGGTGGTGGTAGCCGGTGTTGGTGTCAACAGGGTCTAACATTCTTCTTTGCCCTGTTATTTGGGGACTCCAGCACAAATTAAAAGTATTCGCCGATAAGAAATTTTAAGCTTCAAATTAGTAGCAGAAGCCAAAGATTTAACAATACAGTGAGCTTTAAGAACTCTTGACTCCCTTTCTTCCCGGCCAGCACGGGTCAGTGAAGTTATAATCATCCTTCCAGCACAGAATGCGTGAGTCAGGAAAGGCGAAGGCCGCAGGGCCCTCAAGCCAGAACTACAGGGCGAACCTGGTGCTGATGCCCAGGCACCATCGCAGCTCTAAGCCATGGGCATCTGAGAGGCAGCGGAGCATGATCCACCTGCTAACGCCGACTGACGCAGGCTGGGCCACACCTTTCTCAGAACCGCCTCCTTCGAAGCCTGGCTGGAATGACCTCTTTACCTGGACTTTAAATTTAGATAGCTCAGTTGTCTCACAGAAGTTAGTACTCCAGTAAAAACATCTAGAAAATAAACCTTCAGATATTGCAGGGGAGGAAACTTGGGACCAGAGAGGTCAAGTGATCAACCTGAGGTCACACTGCTGGCTGCGTGGCAAGTCCCAAGAACCTGCAGTTAGGTACAAGGAAAACGTCCTTGGGATGGTCTCATAAGGGAGTTGCAGGATTCTGCTGCTAAGACAGAGTCACTCAGCCATGAGTTTGAATCTGTTGAAGTTCCGGGTTCTGCTCGGGGAGGAGTTGTGAGATGACAGAGGCCTCAGTGACTTCTCCTTTGAAGGTCCCGTAGTTGGCAACGGACAATTCGCTGCGAGGACTCCACCCTCTTAATCCTCTACCGTCTTAAGGATGCAGGGAAACCAAGGCCAGTTCCTCTTTACAGAAAGGTTGGGAACCCCTGATCTCAAGGTTGATTGGCTTAGAAAACTTCTGAAAATACAGAATAATGCACATACGAGTCGAACATACACCCATGTAGCTTCCTGCCACCCAGAATTAATGACTAGTAATCTTTTCTCCCAAGGTATTTTGAGAATCTTTTTTTCTTTAGAATGGCTCAGGCATCGTAAGACACAGGGGGAATCTACCGTCTTGCTTGATCAGCCAGATTTCTGTCAAATCAGAATATAGAAGTAGGATAGGAAAGAAAAATTTGTTTTATTAAAAATATGGTACCTGAGTGGACTGTGGGATGAGTTTTGACAAATGCCTATGGCTGTGTTTTAAATTGCATTTGCAACTGGAACTACATAAAAAGACATTTTAATTTACATAACCTTTCTTTCTTTTTTTTTTTTTTTTGCTGTTTTCACTTCCTCTTAAAACAGGGAATAACCTGGGGGGTTTTTATTTGTTTTCTGGCAGAAAATGCTTAGTTTGAAAAAAGCCACAGAGTAAAAGTTAAGTTTACAGATTTTCCAGTGAGAGATAAAAGGGAGCTGAATAATTGTGGAAAGTAAAAGTTCAGAGTTTTGTTGCCTAAAACTATATTTTCATTTGTTAAATTCTAGAAATATTTTTGAATTGAGAGTCAGGAAGCCTGAATTCTAGAATCAGTGCTGCCACCCACGCACTGTATGGCTGCTGGCCCATCGCTTTACCTCTTGGGGCTGAAAATCGAACCTTTTGGGCTTTTAGAATAATGTGATTCCACTATCTCCATCTTCACGGTCTTTTGATTATGGCTTTTCCCTTTGTACCTCGTGTACTAATGGGTCCTGATTCCCCATCACATATAACACGAATGGTAGATGACAGGCTTCTTTATGCACACAACCCATTGCTGGGTGTCCTGCGCACACAGGACCAGCTCTGCCCCTGGGGCTCCAAGTCCACCTGCTCCTGGATCCTGGTTTCACCCCCATGGCTCCCGCTAGATACCGGCTTGACACGTGACTGTTGTGGTGCCAAGAGTTGTGGTTTTCATTTCTTTTACCAAACATATTATAAATACCTTTTTTTGTTTAGGACACTATTTTTCAGCTTTATTTGAAGAATATCCTAGAAGATAAGTTGCTTTAGCAATTCCTTAACTGCCAGAACTCTGTCCTGGCTAAAAACTCAACACAGGGGCCGGCCCCGTGGCACAGCGGTTAAGTTCGTGAGCTTGGCTTCGGCGGCCCAGGGTTTCGCTGGTTCGGATCCTGGGCACGGACATGGCACCACTCGTCAAGCCATGCTGGGGCGGCATCCCACATGCCACAACTAGAACTCACAACTAAAATATACACTGATGTACTGGGGGGATTTGGGGAGAAAAAGCAGAAAAAAAAAAAAGATTGGCAACAGTTGTTAGCTCAGGTGCCAATCTTAAAAAAAGGCAAAAACAGCCTCAACACATTATCTCACCTAAAAACCCAAAACGACTGTAATGCCATCTTCCACCTGGCACTCTTCCAGTGCCATCCGGCCGCTAAGGTCGAGTCTTCAGTCCTCACTGAGCATTTGCGCTAATATTCAGAATTCTTTTGAGAGTTTGGGGTTGGGACTGAGGGAGTGGGTCATCCTGGCTCAAACCCAGTACTCAGGACATCAGCTTAGCCAAGTCTCTTCCTTCTGAGTCTGCAGGGCAGGAGAAATACTCTTCTCTCCCCCGCGCTAGCACACTCAGACAGCACGGGCAGCTCCAGGGAGACCAGCGACACTCCATCGTCCAGAGGAGCGAGTCTGGAGCCCAGTGCTGCGCTGACCTGCGCTCCAAGCTTGGACGAAGGACTGTGTGCTCGGGCGGAAAAAGGGAGGCTCCAAGCCCACGTGGTGGGGGAGCTTTGCTGCACCTGCACACAGTAGGCACCCAGTTAATATACATCGTTCAGGTCACAAAAGGAAGCACGCCATTCATTTTTGGAAAATATTTATTAAAAAACTAAAGTGAATGTGGCAAAAAAAAAACCCAACACAAACCTTTAAATAGCAAGCATATGACACTGGTTATAAAGCGTTTTCAACTCTACTGATCTAGTCTCTCCCAACCTCTACAGTCAAGGAGGGCCTCCAAGGGAGCCACGTGTGAACAGGTCATCGGTACTCGTGAGGAGCAAAACCTCATGACGTGAGCACTGTCAGTGGCCACATGACTCACCTTCCTAGGCAATCCGCCCCAAACACAAGAGAGTGACCAACCTCAGGCATGTGTCCCGGGGCTGTAGTTCTGGTTTTAATGTGGGGGTGGGGGCGGTCAGGGGATCAAACAGTAGACAGACAGTGTCAGTAGAGGGCAATCTTTAAGCACCTTTAAAATCTGGACCCTTTTCCACAATTTAACCCAGCAATTCTCAAACTCTTCTGTTGTGAAAGAATCACCTGATGGGACTGTCGAATTCACAGGCCCCACAAACCCTCCTATTGAAGATGGGTACTCCGGTGCTTCTGTGCACGCTGGTTAGTCATCCAGTTTGAGAAACACCGTTTAAAATGCATTCAAACAATCCCTAGCCCCTAAAAACAAGATAAAAGTAAAGTTAAAGAATCTGCTGACAGTCACTGTGCTTTTGTCAACTTGGAGGGACCAACATAGGGGGGCAGGAGCCTCCGATTCCCGACAGACTGGTCTACAGGAGCCCTGAGCAACCTGTCAAGTGCTGTTCAGCAAGTAAATAAAAGTGAATAATCAAGTTGATTTTAGCTCACAAGGCAGCCTCCGAATGACTAACAGGCCAACCCCATTCATCCCAGTTTAATGAACTCTGTTGGGCCGATGCCAGACGGGAAGCTGCTGTTCAGACAGAACACAGGGTAACTGGGTCCCGAGGTGTGAAGACATAGTGAATAAAACATCTATAAAAACCTTTATTAACCAGAGAGCACGATGCCCGAATGATTTCAGGGCATCAGGGACAACATGTAGAAATAGTCACATTGATTCCAAGGTTCCCATTATCCGCAAAAAGGTGTGCTATGGCTGTGTCAAACACAAGGCAGTCGCTGTTCATGATGGCTGCGGCCACGCCGTCGTGGATGGACCGGGGCGTGGCCTCCCAGGTCAGTCTCCGCCGGTTCCCGTTCAGCTCCAGTCTGTAGGCAAAGTTCTCGGCCTGCTTGCGGGTGCCGATGAGCAGGACAATGGCGAAGAATTGCTGGTGGCCTTCGTACTTCTCCTGCTTCTCCAGCACCAGCATGAAGTGGTGGCCGAAGCACGACTGCATCATCACCCAGTCGACGGCCCCCGGCAGGTTAATGTCTGTAGCCAGGAAGACGATGTCTTCTCCCTGGAGGGTGGTGATGCTCTTGTGGGCGTGCATGAGATGGGACATCACGGCTTCCAGGGAGCCCTGCCACTTGCAGGAAGCACCAGGACAAGGGCAGGAGTAGGGCCGGTATTCACAGATGTCTTCGTGTTCCGGCTTCTCCGTGTGGTGCAGGGTCAGGGAGCAGCCCGTGGTGGCATACTGCAAGGAGGAAAGAGACACACTGAGCCATCGGGCCGCCTCAGAGCCTCCACAGGTGCAGACCTCAGGCTTCCGGGGCTTAACCTGTATTCTCATGTCAGCTACTTTTGCTCCAGATGAGTTAAATACATAAAAGTCTCAGTTCCTATTCACCATCAGTATTGCCAGACATGAAATCAGGGGCATCTCCTGAGCCAGCAAGGTACTGCATTCCATGCCCCCCATTCGTGCATTAAAAATGTGAGAACTAAAGTGCTCATACTATAAACACTTCAGACAACATCGCTGAGCCAGCCCTGGAAAGCCTGACCTGCCCCCTTATTTTCTGTGAGTTTAAAGAATTTTTTAAGCAATTTAAAATTGCTTAGGGCTGAGGCTGGGCAAGGAATGTGGGTTATCTCCAGACTAGTTCTCACCTAAGACCATTTTGAAAATAGCCTAACTCCTCTTGGTTGTCCTCTGCACTTCTTCCCGGCTTCAAGTGGTGACTGGCAGGCCGAGTGTGGGGAAGGCTGCCCTCTGGACCCCCCAGGAAAGAAGAGGGCTGGAGGCCCCTGACATGGCTAAAGTATCACCTCAGCTTCCTCACCTTTTAAACCCTCCCCCACCAGGGGCTTTAAACATACTTTTTGGGTAAAAGGAAATCACATCCAAGAGCTACTTGACCAACTCAGGAGACTGCGGCCAGTTTGCCTCCAGCCAGTGGAGGTTAAAGTGCGAACGGCCTGAGCCCGCTGGACGTTGCCCAGGCCGCTCCCTCAAGTCCAGTGCACCTCGCTTCATGACCAGGGATGTCAGGGCCTCATGGCAGGCCCAGGAGGAAGGGGAACCAGAGTGCGCCCCACAGTGGGCGCCTGTCCGAGATGAGTTTTCGGACATGGTCAGTCAGCCCCTCAAATGCTGCCTTAACAGGGTAGCAACAACCCCTTTTTCCCCTTAGCACCCGGAATGACGTGCCCAGTGGATAAATCACACCCATCGTGGAAAGCCCACAGGAACGACCGTGTGAAGTCCCAGGTGCCGGGGGAGAATCAGCCACAAGTAGACACTTGCCCAGCGCATAACGCTGGCGTCTTGTAAAGAAGAAGGAAACCTGAATCACCTTTTTTGGCTGAAACCAGATGTCAGCCTCATCCCCTCGAGCACACAGTGGCAGGTAAACTGCTGTCTGCGTGCCCCACCTGGACTCCCCCACCCCCTCCTGAGACATGAGGACACCAAAGGAGAGCAGGGCCAGGTCATTTTTCTAAGAAAAATGTCCAAGTGTCCAATTACTAACAAAACCAAGCAACCCCACAGCTCTTGTTGCTTCTCCCTACCCTGCCTTCGGGGATAAACCCCTTACGGACTTCCAGCGGGTCCAATTCTAACCTGTGCGGCTGAATTTATCACTAGCAACATGCAGGCGCCGAGCACCTTCTCCATAGGAGACCCGAAGCTCGAGTCTCTGAGAGGGCAGGAGCAACGAAGCCAGTCTCCACTCCTAGGGAGATGAGTCTCCCTAATAAGGAAGAAGAGAGTGGCTTAGAGAAGGAAATGCAGCTCGCTCCTCGCCCGTACCTAAAGCGGGTCACAGTAATCTTCAACAGAAACTGGCAGAACCATCTCACTGTTACTTACTTTGCCCAAAGGAATTGCTTATTCATCTTTTTTAACCATGGACTAATTTTAAAAGCATAGGTGTAAAAAACTTAATCAGAAGGCAAAACAAATTTATTTATTTATCCATATATATTGATGCTTTGTGTTCCTGACAAGAATAAGGCCCTAAAACACTCATTCTTGTTAACTGTGTTTGAAGTCTCGGGCGCAGCTAAGAACACAGAGCCTCCCGATGTTCTTCTGTGAGTGACGGTGAGGCATTTCTGCCCAGAGTTTAAAAACACACACATGCACCATAAAAATAGCAAGAATTAGCCCAGAGCCTGGCAGATCCTCTGGCTGAAACAGGCCATCAGTATTTGGATCTGAGGACCTCTCAGAATGGGCTGCTTCCCACAGCTGCCCAGGGATAGTTCCGGGAACGAGATGAACTTTGGCAGCGAGGCCGGAGGAGCACCACCCCCGTCTCCCGACCACTCCACGTTCACGAGCTCCAGCGTACGCAAATATTTATCGTCTAGCAGTCATTTTAGAACTTTTCCTTGAGTAACTCCAGTAGAATATTTAGATTCTGAGTTGTATTTGGTTTGCCTTAGAAGTCACACCCTCTCCCTTCAACTCAAGTCTAGAGGGCAGGGAACCGTCGCAGACTACACCAATAGGAAAGGGATCACCTAGCGTCTGTGTGGACGGCGACCTTGTGAAAGAGACCTTGCCGAGCCTCTGTGAGCTCAAACAAACATACTGTTGCAGTGCCAGGTGACTGCTTTGCTCTGCTTGTTCTAAAGCTGAACTTTAACGTCAATCTGTTCCTTCCCTTGTCCATCCTGAGGGAGGGCGTGTCTTCATCACCACTGGGGCCGCTTTATGACGGCTGGACTAGAGATGATCTCTGAAAGGATCTAGACTTTACACACGTGCATGCACACACACACACACGCTGCTGCCACACTTCAAACTGGTAACAGTCTCAGCATTCCTGGAATGACATTCCACAGCATGGTGGGTGTTCTTGTCGCCTACAATAGGGGCTGTCATCGGAGAGATCAGAGGGCAGGCTTCGGGGCCTGTGAATTCCCTGAGACCGTATGGCCAGGGGCCTCTGAGCAGCGACACAGACTGCGCTGGCCCCTGGGCCGGTGTTGTCCTGACAAGCTCCAGGGGTTACTAAGGGCTGTGACTCTCCATCCTAGGACACAGAGATTCCAGATCAGCCCGAGATCCCACCCTTGTGTTGCCTGTGTGCAACCACAGACAGCTCAAATACAGCAAAATACAGAGAACCAAGGAAGACCAGGGGCACAGGTGATTTCACAGTGGGGACAGTGAGGAGGGGAAGGAAGCTTTCACTGGACGGAGTGGAGTGTGGGTGGAGTGGTTCTCTCTGTCTAGCACAGGCTGGGTGGGGATAAGACCTAACTGGGAAGGCAGGCCTAGACTGCCAGGGCCTTGACTGACAGTTTAGTTTACGTCAGAGCTTCTCCACAGTGACACTACTGACATTTTAGACCAGATAATTCTGTGTGCTGGGGGCTCTGCTGTGCACTGTAGGATGTTTAGCAGCATATCTGGCCTCTACCCGCTAGATGCCAGTAGCAAGTGCCAACCCCCCACCCCCCGTTATGACAACCAGAAATGTCACCAGGCATGGCTGAACGTCTCCTGGGGGGGCAAAATCACCCTGGTGGAGAGCCACTAGTTTTTCAATGAATGACAAAACCTGGCCAGGCCATACAACCACAGCTGGCGGAGCGCCGTCCTGCCCCCCTCCCCCGGCCGGTCACTGCCACCCCATGTGCACTCCCAGGATGGCCCAAGACACTGGAGCACGGAGGTGGCCAGGGAGCTGGTTCGGCCAGTTTTACAGAGTGACAGGTCACTCGTGGCCACGCCAGGGGTAGAGCCTGCGGCCGTCCCCGCTCCTCCTCGGGCTCCCTCACTGCACCAACTGCTTAAGAGTCAAACAAAGAATCAATGTTTTGAGAAAAAGAAACAATTTACATCTGCCGTGACCCCCTGACCCCAACCCAGCGCCTGGAAAACCCAGGGCCCACAGCCTTCTAATATTAACTTCTTCCTGGGTTTGCCACGAGAAAAACAGCCTCTCCCTCAGGAACGGGGCAGCAGCGCCTCACAAATAAATAACCCCCAGGGAGCCCTCCCCGCCTTCTCTGGCTTCTCGAAGGAGGTCCTGAGGCTCCACTTTGCACAGCCTGAAAGGGCTCGCCACCAGGCGTGCAGGGGCCAAGGAGCCGCCCGGCCCTCCGCTGCCCACTCTTGCTCGGGCTGTTCGAGGAGGGCTGCCTTGTCTCCGGGATGGCCCACAGCCGCGGACGAGCTTCTCCGCAGGGAAATTCTGCTCCTGTCCCCGGGGTGGGGCGCAATGGGAATTCGCTGTAAGTAAACCTCTGGGGGGGAGGGCAGCTGGTGAGAGGGACACAACCACACACAGAAGCCCAAAGCTAATGAAAGGAGGGCAGGGAAGATGGCCCAGCAGAAGGAGAAACAAAGAAAGGTTGAAATAACATTTGTGACTTCTCTCTGGAAGCTTTCCGCGTTGCAGGGGCTCAGAAGTCTTGTGCAAACGTGTCCTGCCACGAAAGGCAATGTGTGACCTGGGGCCTCATTCTAAGTCCTTGAAGAGAGCAGTAAATAGTGCCAGTGCTTTTCCTCGGCATGGGGTTTGAAGGCTATATTTAAGCTGGAATTTGGACAGGGTTTTTCCCTTTTTGACACAGAAACCCCTTTACTCACAAATAAACATGACAAGATAGGTCAGAAACACAGTCAAATACTACACAGCTGTTAGTTACCTAACAACCACAGTCACATTATACTTGTTTATGTATGACCATATAAACAGAATAACCCTTCTTAGCCACGGTGCTGTGAAGGTCATGGGTCCTGTGACTGGTTTAGAACAAGTCACTTAACCTATTTAATTAAATTTGACTCTCTGTGATTCAAGAACAATTTGCCAAACCCCGCCCCATGGGGGCGCTGTGAGCTCCGTGCAGAAGCAGGTCCCTCGGGGGACTGAGGTCACCTCCCGCTGCCACCTGCTCACCTCCCGGGAAACAGTGAAAAGTGTTAGCTAAGTGTCTGCCAGCGCCCCAAGTGAGAATGTCTCAAGAAAAACAAAGCACAATTGATATTTTGTTGTTGATGCTCATAAACTTTTGAATTAGATCCAAGAAATGCCCTGGTCTTGGAGTAAGCAAAAAAGCAAACCGCACTTTCCTTCAGTCTGCATGAGCTGTCAAGATCCAAAATGCGCACCGGTCGGTAGGCAACGCAGGACCCTGGACTGGAAACCAAAGTGGCTACAAAGGGCGTTACTGGGGCAACCACCGAAATCTGCATATGGCCTGAGGATTAGGCAATAGTGTCTCCTGCAGGTCGCACTTCCTGTACCATAATGAGTAAGAAAATGTCCTTGTCGTTGTTAGGAGAAACACAGTGGGTCAAGGGGCAGCATGCCTGCAATTTACATTCAAATGGTTTAAAAAACACTCGTACTAATGGAGAGCACACAAGTGGTAAGGCAAATGGGACAAAAAGGAGACAATGGTGAATCTGGATAGAGCGTATATGGGTATTTTTGGTACTATTATTGCAGTTGTTATGTAAATTTGAAATCATATAAAAATAAAAACATTAAAGAATCCAGGGGTTGAGTTGGCATATTTATCCTTATGGGACAGAGATTCCTTTTGCAAAGTTGGTTGAATGAATTAAGTTTTATTATAATAGTGTTTTGTTTTTTTTTAAAGAAAACCTACTTTCAACTCCACATCCACATGGAAATACAACTAAGTTAGTAGTTTTTCTTTTTCTAGCTCTTGGGACACATTTTAGTGAACCAATAGCTGTGCAGTGCAGACGTCAGTTGGTGCAATAACCAACTCTTCTTTCACCTCCACAGAAGACAAAGTCTTCTCCACTGCTCCTCTGATCCTTCTGAAGGTCTGTGGGCACCTGACAAATCTGGGGCCCTGGACTATGGTTTCCAGGCTCCGCGGTTTCCTCACCCACCACCCTGAGTGGTCCAAGGAGAACTCCTATTTGACGGCGGACCACATCTGAAGAGGAGCTCCAGCAATGACTTGCCCACGCCTCTGTCCTCTACAAGGGTAGAGGTGAACCCAGAGATGGAATCAGAGCTTGTGAGTCCAGCTGGAAGGATGACTTCCTGGCTGGATAACTTTTTATGTACAATAGGGACCTACTGGTTGGAGGCTCTCTCCTCAACATTCTTTAGACTTGTTCAAATAGGAGTTGTAGCTATACCTGGTTTAGACCCAAAATCAGGGCAAAGCTTACATTTTAACCAGCAGTTAAATTTTACCACTTCTTAAAAGGACTTCTAGCAATTCAAGTTAGCTCTTTTGTTACTAAAAATGTGTTTATCTGCCCTCAAAATATCACTGAATGATCGCAGGTTATTTTCCAGTTAATTTATGGGCCTATTAAGTTTGTTAATTGGTTTATTGATTTATTGTCTGCTTCCCACCCACCCAATATTTGTTGGTAAATGAATAAATATGAGGTTTATCTGCAGAGGATGATTGTTCTCCACCATGTTAATTTTACTGTAATTAAAAGTTTTACTGTGGAACTTAGAATTAAAAAAAAAAGATTCAATACACCTTGAGATCATGCAAGGCAAAATGCTTATTTTAGACTTCAGTCACTATGGGTTTGTTTTATAATTTTTGATAAAGGCATTTCACACATTTTATTTACATAAACTATTTGGGGTGGGGGTGTTTATAGCTTTTCTGAAACCTTACACAGATGGGGAAATGATGACACTGTTGTCATTTTGACAGCTCTATGTCCCTCTTGCTAAAAATGTGTTTATGATCACTGGTCGAATAGCTATGATTAGAACTCAAGTGCCCAGTGTCCTGTGTGACCTTGAACTGAGCCTACCATGTCACTTCTGAGTGGGTCTGTAAAACTGCCTACAACTCATGCCTTGAGTATCATGAGCCATGGAGAAGTTCAGGCTTGGACAACAGGACAAAGTGAAAGCTCTTCTTGTGACTCGTACTTAACCTGTATCTGTCTAGTATCTTTCCTCTCAGAATCTTAGCGAATTTTCACTTAACTCAAATGGCAGATTCCTCACGTATGCTGTGAAGTAGCGCAAAGAGATATTTATCAACCAATAGTGCAGTAAGGGTTCCACAGATAATTAAATGAGAAGACAATGTCACTCAGTACCAGGACTGTCCAACAGTGGTGAGACTAAAAAAATACTGACACTGGACTTTATCAACTTTGTTCTGGAGAAGGCAATTCCAATGAAAATCTCAGGCTCAAAAATTCCTCCTTTTTGCTTAAGAGAAAGTTGACAAACCCCACTTTGCAGTGATCTGAGAACATCCTGCTGTTGGGGGTGGTGGCGTGTGGCCTTATGAAGACCCCCTGAGCTGGCAAGGCTTTATTTTAAATCTTAGAAACTTTAAACAAAAGTTGAGTTGACCAAGTCTGCTTCTCATCTGACCATAGCCAGAGTTAGCAGGTGGCCACACACTGTCTTGGAGAACCAGTTCTAAGTCCCTTCAGAGTGAGTGGCTTTATGCCATGCTACCAGCACCCTGGCCACCTTCTCGATTTGCCCTCACCCGTCCATGCCAGGCCTCCACCTGCGTCATCACACTGACGGCCCTGACCACTCTTCACAGTGCCACATCCCTCAGCAGTCTTTATTCCTCAACTGAAGCAGTCCAATTCCCCAGAAGACTTAAGTGGTAGGGTTGCCAGATTTAGCAAATAAAAATACAAGATGCCCAGTGTGTCCCAGGCAATATTTGGGTTACACTTACACCAAAAAAATTATTTGTTTATCTGAAATTCAAATTTAACTGGGCATCCTGTATTCTACCTGGCAATCCTAATAAAGAGTGCTCTTCTGGTACCACTGCTGTCCCTGCCAAAGCCACCACGTGAGTCTGGGGCTCACTGTTCCTCAGCAGGGTGGAGTGGGCAGCAGACACGGTGGGAGGCCGAGGTGGGAGACACCGTACATGTCATTACAAGGCCATTCTGGAGCTTCTGCTCCCCACACTCACAAGCTGCATGAGTGTGGGCCAGTCTCTTGGGGAGGGATACCAACCGTGTCCTATTTCCTCTTCAGAGTAATTAGCAGGATAACATGAGATAGTACACCTAGTTCAGACAGGTAAACAACGTCCTCTTGAGCAGCTCCACTGGCCTCCCCACCTCACCCCATCGGGATCATCCTTCTTCACCAGCAACCTGCCGCTCATCCTTCATAATGCCGCTCCAACACCACCTCTGCAAGCAGGTCTCCAGGCCACTCTGCTCCCCCGACTTCAGAAGGGCTCTACTGGCACCTCTCTCTCCACCGAGAGACTCAGAGTTTCAGAAGGACGAGGGCGGACGGGAGGCAATGGCTGGCTAGGCAGATGGTGTGTAGGAAGGAGCGGGCTCGGGGCTGCCGGAGATCCAAGGCAGATGAAAAGTGAGTGGGTAATGAGGAGGAGCCAACTGTGGCCTGAGGTTACTTCGGGGAGAAGCAGCAGGCAGGAGCACAAGAAACAAGCATGCCAACACCCACTGTGGGGTGCTGAGAGAGTGGGCCGCACTTGTCAATGACTCCCAGGGAGAAGGCAATCTGGCTCTACTATCAGAAGCTCTGCACTTCTGCATACACCCTGTGGCCCCACCACTCAACTGCTAGGAATCTGTCATTAGGAAATAATTATTTTCTTATGCACGAGGATTCAGTTTAGCAGTACCTTTTTTTTTTAATCACACTAAGAAGACAGAATGACTTAAATGACCACAAACAGGAGCTTGAATAAATAACTCTGATACCATTGTGGAATTTTAAGACTACACAGTTCTTAAACATGACCTTAAAGACTATTTAACAATGTGGAGAAGCAGTCATGATGTGTCAGATGAAAAAGCAGGTTATGAAATAGCCTGTGGATTTCCTGTCCTACCTGCTTTGTTTTGAGTGAAAACTCCATTGATGTAGAGGTAAGTTTGCAAGGACATACACAAAAATGGTATAGGGGTTATTTCCAGGTGGGGGATTACAGGAGATCTTAATTTTTTATTACTTTCTATATGTTCGACATTTAAAACTAAAGATCATGACTTTAAAAAACATATTTTATAATGTGTAAAATAAAATACACAATTAAAAAGTGCTGCCTAGTCTAACTGGCTTTCCCTTCTAAAAGCATTGAAGAAACGATAAAACGTCTCAGCACTGGACACCAATGCCGGGGCCACCTCAGCCGGCTCGAGGAAACCCTCCCCCATCGGGAGCGGGGAAGAGAATCTCGGAGAGGGAATCCACGGAAGAAAATTAGCAAGATTCCAGTTTTTCTTTTTAAAGTTAATGCCTGGGCCTGACCTCAGACATTGGCCATGTGCTCTCTGTCAGCCTCTCGCCGTGACATTTATTCAGGGTTCACTCTGTGCTGGGCTGTGTGTGGCGCTTCACATGAATTAATGCTGAGTTTGATCCTCTGAACAAGCTAATCATCTCCCCATTTTACCAATGAGCCACTGAGGCTGGGAGAGGTCACCAGTTTGTCACAGTGGGGACAGATGGGGATCTGACCAGGAGACTTGAGAAAGGCCTGCCCTCAACACTAGCTGAGGAAGAGGTAATCTGGGGGAGGAGTGACCCAAAGACACTTCCTTTGTTGACTCAAGGTTGTGACATTGGGCCCAGGCCCACACACTTAACACAGGTGTACCTTCCACCCATCTCCACAGCGTCTGTGGCTAACACTGGAAGGGTAACCTTTTGTCTCACAGACAACATACAGTCTAATATTCATCACCTACAGTCTTTACCCAACTGGAAACGAGAATGACAAGTTTCCCAATTTTTAAGAAATTAATGGAGAAAGATGGGCATCTGGGGAAAGTTGATGAAATTCTGCTAGAGAATTTTCAGTATCTCTCCTAAGCCTTAGAAAGCACACTCTAAGATTTAATGTAAAGATACATTTGATCAGGAAAACGTCTTAGCTTTCTTATTTTCCTTTTCAGGATGTCCGGAGTGGAGTCACACTCCAACGCCCCGTGTATGACCACGCTCTGCACAACTCACCGCAATACACATGCCGGCACTCACTTCAGCAAATGTGTACCTACTATGTGCGCCTTTCAAGGAGTGGTGACATTATGGGTTTAAAGGAGAAATGCCATTCACAAATTTTGTCAGATGTGTAAGTCTGGTTCTACAGACATTTTGCAGGAGGTCTTACTATGGTCCTAGTACGTCACACTTCATATGGGGCTTCCGGAGGGCTCTCACACAGAACAGGAGAATTTAATCAGTCTCAGACTGGGGACTTCCCAGGCCACACCTGCTGTTCCTTTGGTTCGCCTCCATTCTAACTGTCCTAAAGATCAACCTTAAGTAACAATGATTTGCTCCAGTTCCAGGCCGTGGTAACTTGTGAAAAATCTTTGGCCAACTATGTGTAGAGTCAGCATTAAACTTCAGTCCTCCTACCTGGCATTCCGGCGCTTCTGTTCCTATTTTACACTCAAAAGCTGTCCTGTCAATTTCGTTCTCGACGATCTCGCGGGCTTGGCTGCAGCCAGCGCAGCTTTTATGAGACAACCCACTCAGCTCCAGCCAGTAGTGAAGACCGCGGGGACAAGTTCCAAAGGAAATGATTTGTGTCTTAGGACAATTTTTGAGGTTAAAAAGAGATCTTTGAAGTGGTTTTGGCAAATCGGCTATCCCCCCAGGCTTCTAGGTGATTGATCACCCCTCACCTAGCAACCACCCCAATACCAGCCATCCGCCAGCTGATCTGGGGAAGCAAAAGCCCCCTGCAGCACTTCCGACCTGACCTCAGAGCGCCCCCCCAGCTGGGCATCACCTCCATTCTCCTTAACCGAAGAACAGGCTCAGGGAGGACTGGACGGCGGGCCTCCAGAGCCAGGGGGAGGACCCTGTCCTGTCCCTTGCCTCCGATCTTTTCCCTGGGACAGCTTACTAGACTGCGCAATCTCAGGGCAAAAAAGATCCTTGGTATAATCATTGAGCCCAACTCTTTCTCTCTCTCTTTTTCTTTTTTTGGGGAAGATTAGCCTTGAGCTAACATCTGCCACCAATCCTCCTCTTTTTGCTGAGGAAGACTGGCCCTGAGCTAACATCCGTGCCCATCTTCCTCTACTTTATATGTGGGACGCCTGCCACAGCATGGCTTGCCAAGTGGTGCCATGTCCTTACCCGAGATCTGAACTGGTAAACCCCGGGCCGCCAAAGTGGAACATGCGAACTTAACCACTGGGCCACCGGGGCAGCCCCCCCCCCAACTCTTTCTCTTAAAGACACTTGGGTACAAAGAAATAAACTGACTTTACAAAGTCAAACATCTAGTCACAAGACAACAGTTCAGGTCTCCCAAAGGCCAAAGGAAATCGTCCCTCGGCAAAATAGAGAGGAGAAGAAAATGAGCTGTAACCTCACCTACAGCTGGAGCCTCCTGGGGTTCCCGAGTTCACGTATGGGAAGAGCTCAGCAAGAACTTCCACTCGTGACCGCTCCCCACAAGAGCCCCAGATCAGGGGCTGCACAGGGGCGGGTGGAATTTGGTCTCCAGACATGCTTGGGTTGGCCTGCAAGTGCTGGCTTTAAATTTGAATTTGGCCAATGTTAGAAAAAGAAAAAAAAAAGAAAGAAAGAAAAAATTGAGATATTTAGCATTTTAAAAATCTAGACTTATGGCTTTTCTTGAAAAAATTCAAAGGTGTGGCATGGCTGCATCCACATTCCGACCTGGGCCAGTCAGCCAGAGCTGAGCCGAAGCTGCCCGCTCGCAGGCGGCCCGGGGTCCCCAGCGCCCAACCGTCTCCTCTGCTCTCGAGGTCTCCTGAACCCCGGAGGCCACGGGTCAGAGGCCACACCCCCTGCACACCTGTCCCTGCTGGTGTTCTGAGTTTGTCTCCACTGCACAAGATGAGTCCACACTGAGGAGCTTTTAGCTTTCCACTGGGTTATCTGACTTGCCTTTTTGTGGTTAAGGAACAAAACAACACTGTCACGGTCCCACTGCTGGGAAGACTCATCTCACCGAGGCTTTCCAGTTCAAGAGCCACCTGGAGATATGCTACGGGAAACTTGCAGAGAAGACAGAGAGAAAACGGAAGGAAAACGTATCATAGCCTGAGTGGGCTGCAGTGGGTCAGCATTTCCCACCGTTGTGGAGAGAAGTGCCTGGCCGATGCTAAAATGCACTGCTGAGCAGGGGCACGTGTGTCAGCCTTCCCTTCTCTCCTCCACCCACACTCCACTGAGACGGGGGGTTTGAGATACAGGGACAGGATGTCAAAACTCCTCAGGCGTGCAAGAAGCTGTAGAATGGACTAAAAATACCACAAGTGGAAGACAGCCCTGCCCTGATAGAGACCCTTTTTTTTAAAAGGGGACCAGAGCTACTAGTGCATGTGGTGCCCTCTACATGAAAGAGGAGCTGGCAGCACTCAAGCCTGTAACCCAGGGGCCCCACACCTAAGTAAGGAAGCCATCCGACAGCACCGCCACTGTGGGGCCGACTGAAGCAGGAGCAGTTCAGAGCCGTGATGAAATCCCCCCAAAATGAGGTTTGTAGCCTACTTCCCCCCATCTTCCCAACCCACAGGCCCTACAAAATTCCCACCAATGAATTTTACAGTGAATTTATGTTGTCTCGCTGGGATTTTCCCATCAGAGGCCCATCTGGGGAACTCGTCAGTCAGAGGGTTTTGTCACTGTTGTCAGCCTTCAGTTATGATGTACACCCTTGGAGTATGAGCTCACATTCAAAAATCCCCACGTAGTGAGCAGTACAAAGGTGTGATGTGTGCCTGTGGGGTGCAGGTGCATGGACTGGCCACTGCGTGACCTTGACAAGTCACTCAACACTTAACCTCTCCATAGACGTTTGTTTCCTCACCTGGAAAGAAGAAAGGCAATCTACTAACAGTCAACCCAGCAGAGGGGCTGGCCCCTTGAGGGCGCCGCGGAAGCAGCCCACCCAGCCTCCCTTCTTTTCATGGAATGCTAGAGGCTACAGGTCCTTGGAAGTCGGGCAGTCCGATCTCGTCATTTACAGAGGAGGAATCCAGGCCCCCAGAGGTGGTCTCCCAGGCAAGCAATGGCGGCTCCATACAACTCTGCAGACCTGGGCTCTGGTACTCTACCCAACACTGGTTTTCTCACATGAGCCAGCCCATGGGAGAGATCTGAGGGCAGGCAGGGGCAGTGACAGGGAAGTCCCTATGATCTCCAGTAGCAAGTGCAGGCCACAGGGCCAGCTACACAGACCTGTTTTGTTGAAGCTGACATAGGCCTTACCGCTCCCGATTGCTCTCATCCTCCCCAGCTGACATAGCTGGGTTGCCTGCTGGGCCTCTGAATACATCCAGGTTTGGTTTATCCAAACGAACTGGCCGAGCCGCCCTGTCCACAGTTTGGATTACTAGCCAGCCAAAGCTGGGACATGCATACTTCAGCTTTATAACTCTCACCCACATGCACACACACAGAAGGGACCCCAAGATCACTTTCTCGGTTCCTGGTCTGTAGGGGAACGGCTGGCCCTGTTGAATTTCAGCTTGCAAAGTGATGGCTTTGCCCAAGTGCATCCCTACAGAACAGCGTCTTGGGACATCATTGACATGTACAGAAATGCTGGGAACCCCTGGTTCCCAAGAGAACTAGTCTTCCCGAAAGACTTCACTAGCACGTTACCCGTTAGGAAAGAACATACGCTTCAACAGGAACCAGAATCCAGATCCTGAAGGTGAAACCTCACACTTCACACAGAGTAACTGCTTCCTTCTCTTTCTCTTGGGAGCAACACAATGCGCTTACAAGATTGCTTTTTAAAAATAAGTTATGGAATACTGACTGATATCAAATGCTCATTTGTGAATGGTAATTCACCTGAAGCCATTTCTTCTATTGGCCACGGAAGGTTTGGGGGGAAGTGAAGGGCTGAGGAGATGGCTCCCCAGAAACCCTGTGGGGCATCCCCCACCCCCACAATATACCTCAAACATCAGATATCCACTCTTAGCTCAGCTGTCACCAGGCTGCCACCTTCTTCCTGACCCTAAGAAAATTATGGAACTATTTTGTCTAAATTGTATGAGAAACAACTCCTGGGCTGGGGGAATTAGTAAACATTAGATGAGGACTGCCTGAAGGCAGAGTCATTTATTAAGACTGCCTGAAACCCGCAGCCCAAACATGGATTCAAACCCTTATTTGAATATGCTATTTTAAAACTGATTTGTGGCAGGGCACAGACCAAATTAAATCACTCATTTTACTGACTTGAGTCCCAAGCTCAGTTCTCTGGTGGATTATTTTTAATTTAAAAATAAGCTGTTGCCCTATAAAAGTAAGCAGCACCAAGGAGAAATGCAGGACAGCCCAAACAGCCCAAAAGGCAGGGAGGCTCCTCTCAACAAACTTGAAAGTATTAGTGACATTATTCCCATTTCCAACTTTAGAAAACGAACTTCATGGTATAGCCCTAGGTTCTAAGAGGTGATCTAGACAGGTATGTCTCTGACACTGCTCCTGAAGATTTTTAAGAGACAGAGTTATAATATGACCACATGATGTAATACCGTGTAGCCAGTTAAGATACCATGAGGTACAGCTCGGTTTCAGACACAGAAAAATAGGTGTGATAACATGAATTTAAAACAGCAAGTTGCAGAAGCCATTTTTGGAGAACAACTTATATCTATGCGAGTGGATATATAAACCTTCCAGACATATGCTGACATCTACGACTCTATACTCAGCTGTGAGGCTGTATCTACCTGTGTTTAGAAACCCCTATAAAGATGCACACGGACCCTAACAACAGCGGAAGGAGGCCAGATGGCTTGCTCTTTCCCTTGACTTTTCTTGTCTTAGTGGTTTGCATTTTTTGCAGGAGCATCTATAACTTTTTAAACTACATAAAAAATAAAGTGATGGGATTTCAAGAACCGTAACAACAGCTCCCGCGTGCCCTTCCTGTGAAATCCTTGGTCAACTCTTGTTTTCACCCTACTGAGCAAAACACACAACTCGCCAGTCCTTGGAAGGCTAGGAGAGGGAAAGGCGTGGCTTGCAGGGTTTTCTTGTGCTGGAGAAAAACAGGCTTTAGGCGCCCTCCTTTTAGCTACCCTCCCGAGGGCTCCCACGTGTCAGGGGTGCGCAGACGGCAGGCGCAGGGAGCAGGAAGAATCCAGGACCAACCCTTCTAAGCTGAGCGCTGGTAAAGGGAGCGTTTATCTCGCCCATTTCCTCCCGCCTCAAACCCCCATAGAGAGTCAGCTTCCCAGTCCAAGTTGTAGTTGAGCGGCCCAGCCCTGCCGAGCACAGCCGAGTACACGTCTGCAGAGGCCGCGGGCACCGCGCGGGGAGAGTGGGGATGCGTTCTAACCACGAGCGCGTGCCCATTAGTCTGGGGTCAGCGCTCGGGCAACCGTCAGCCCAGGGCTACTCCCAAAGCGGACAGGTGGGCATGGGGAAGGGCGGACAACGGGTACACTTTTTTTTTTTTTTTAAATAAAAGATATGTCACCTGCCTCTCAGCGCCTGCGGGTGGGCTGGAGGACGCAGGAGTTCCGGGAGGTGACCGGGCGGAGTCGCGCGGAGGGCACCTGGGCTTACCTTGCAGGGAAACAGGACCGCCGAGGCCACCTTCTCCATAGCCAGGTTCCTGATGCTGGGCGTCAGGGCGCCCCTGCACGTCGGGCAGCAGCTCAACTTCTGGCGGCATTGGTTACACACCAGGTGCCCGGCCTGGCACTGCAGGATGGGGGGCAGGACATAGTCAAAGCAGACCGGGCACTCGAAGAGCGAAGTCAGCTCGTGGTGCTGCGGGGACACCGGGCCAGCCCCGCCGCCGCCGGGGCCCGAGATCACCGCCGCCGCGGCGGGCACCGCGGACGAGCCGGGGCCCGCAGCCGAGATGGTGGCGGCGGCCGGGGGCGCAGCCGGGGACGGGGCGTGCTGGGGCTGCGGCGGCGGCGGCGGCTTGCTGCAGGGTTTGTTAGCGCTGGGGCCGGTGGAGGACGGGCGGCTCATCGCGCTCCGAGCCCACCATGGAACTGCGGGCGCCTGCCTGCCGCGGGGCCGCCGGGGTCAAGGCGGTGCGCCCGCGGGCGCCGGGCTCCGGGGCCACGCCACCGCGCCCAGCCGGGCCGGCGGGGGACGGCGCGCCGGGGCCGGGGCCGGGGCTGGGGATGGGGCTGGGCCGCGCCGCCGCTCTCGGCCCCGCGTGCCCGGTGCCCCTCCGCGCGCGGAGCCCTCCTGCCGGCGGCGTCGCGGGCCCGAGCGAGCGGAGCGCAGAGCCCCGGCCCCCGCCTCCGGAGCGGCCGCTGACGCAAGCCCCGGGGGCGCGCGCGGACGTGACGCCTGGACACGTGTGCGGCCGCCCGGGCGGCGGGGACTGGCAGAGCCACCCTGCGCCGGGCGCCGGCTCCGCCCGACTCCGGCTGGCGGCGCGGGGGACCGCCCTGCGCCGGCGCTTCCTGCGGGCGGCGGGCCGGCCGCCCAGTGAGCATGCCCGGCGCCGCGGCCGCGCGGGGCGGCTGTTCCGGGGCGGGGCGCGGCCGCCCCTCGCCGAGGCGTCGCCCCAGTGCCCCGGCCACACCCCGGGGAGCCGCGCCGACGCGTCCCGGGCGCCAACCAGAAGGCCGAGTTGAGGCGGGGCGGGGCGCGGGCCCCCTGGACGGCTCGGAAAACCCGATCTCCTCCCCCCGGGTTGTGGGGGGGTCCCTGGCGCGCGAGGGGGCCGCCCCGGCTCGCGGTTGGGATCGCGGGGTCGGGACGCGGGGCTTCGGGCCGGAGTGGGGTCGGGGCTCGGTTGGTCCGCAGCGGGCACGGGACCGTGTGCCGGGCTGTTCGGGGTGTGTTCGGGCCACCCCTCGGTCCTGCTCCCGGTGCGGGGTGGGGCGTCAAGTCTTTATTCCATTCTCAGTGGACCTGCCGAAGGCTTCGGTGGGTGAGCGCCTCTGACTTGCAGAGCAGGCCGGGGAGGGAGTTCATGGACAGCGCCTGCCAAAAGGAGAGTTCGAGATCGCCTAGGAATGACAGAAATGTGGGCTGGGTCGTGAGGCCCCGGGAAGACAGTGGGTGACCCTCCAATACGGCGCGCCGCGTCCTCCTCTTTGAGATCCCGCCGAAGTCCAAGGCTTTGATGCGACGTGTGGGCGCTCGCCCTGCACCCCAGTGGACGCCCTGGAGAGGGGTGACAGCCCGGAGAGAATCACATGTTAATTTAATGTGTGCTGTGTGCTCTCAGCTAAATTACTTTTCTGCACACTTGGAGCCACTGGCGCTGGAATTGGGGAAGGGGCTACCTAGAGGGAATCGCATGCTTCTTTGCAGGAGAGACGGTGGGAGGGAACCACAGTCGAGACTAGGTGAAGAACGGTGCCCTCCGCTTGCCGACTGTGTGACTCTGGGCCAGTTCTTTAATTTGTCTACGCCTCAGTTTCCTCATCTGTAAAAGTGGGATAAAAACAGTATCTATTTTATAGGTGGGATGATAAATGCCAAGAACCTGGCTCATCGTAAGCACTGCTTAAACGTTAGCTGTTATCTTTTAAGAAATATCATTATTGAATGTTTAATATTAATGTTAATGAATATCAGTGAATAAACACTGTCCAAGAAATATGCTGTTAGAGCCCAGAAGAAGTTTAATCTTAGGGCATCTAGAAAGACGGTACGCATGGAATTGGTGAATTTGATCTAAATCTTGAAAATAATTAATAGAAGTGATGTCGTTGAGTCATTCAGCAGGTGTTTCCCGGCATTCGGCCTGTACAGCCATGTTTGGGCCCTGAGAATGGCTCTTCTGCAGTCTCCATTCTAGTGAGGGAGCAGAGCTGTAACCAAACCCTGGTGGGAGAGGATTTTGGAGGTTAGGTGGGGCAGGGGTGGGGGGACACACTGTAGCAGGAGATAAAGCGCAGTGAGAATGCATTCGGGAGGGCACTGGGACTTGGGGAGTGGGGTGTCGCGTGGGAACCCCAGTCTGCCTGAGAAGACCATTAACTCAATGACCAGGGGTCTCCACTTTAGGTTTTTGAAAAGCACTACTGCATGGCTGAATCTGAGTTTGTAGAAGGGTGTCTGGAGGAATCCAAAATGGTCACTAATGTTTATTGAATGTCCACTCTGCTGGGCATGGCTGCTTCTAAGGACTTCACAACAACCCTACACTATGGGTACTATTGTTGTTATCTCCATTTTGTAGTTGAGGAAACTAAGACACGGGGAGATTAATTTGCTCAAGATTGCAGAGCTGATAATGTTGGAAAAGGCTCCACAGCCGTCCGTCGTAACCACTCGTCTCTATCCCCTTCAGCGAGCCCGAGCCTCCTTACAGGCTGGTTAAGGCATCAGGGTTAGTGGGCGCCACAGTCAGAACACAGGGGCACAGCCTGTAAGAAAGCCCTGAATTTTGTGGGCACGCTTTACATAAATTCTTTCCTGAGCTTGTCTTGAGAGGAAAAAAGTTAAATTGTATTCCACTTATTCCATTTTTACCTTTTTATAGCAAAAAGAACATCATACTGACAACAACAGAAAGAAATCACCCACAGTTTCACTTTTATTGGAGAAAATAGAATGTTTTCCACTTTTAATTTAAAACCCAAGCAAGTGGAATTTATTACCAGAATTTATTTTCTTTCCCTCCGCCTCTGGCCTCTCAGTGCGGGTGCCCCTCCCATTCGCAGGGCTCGCCAGCTCTCACTGGAGCACAGGGTCCCCACCCTTGCCGTATTGACGTGAGCTTTCGGTGTTCCAGCCAGCTAGGCCCTGGTCGTTCAGAGAGCAATTTGGTTTCAGAGGTGTTGAAACAAAGAACAGGAAAAGCAATTCTCTGCAGAGAGAATTTGCCTTATTTTTCTAAAAGTACAGCTGACCCATCTACTCTTAGGCTGGCAAACGCCCCTATGGTGTGGCGAAATTTCTCCTTGGTTCCTCCTTCACATCACTGCTCTCCTGATTAAGTCGACCAGGGTGATTAAAGAAAATGACACCGCTCTGGGCAGTTGCTGAAGGTGGGTGGACAGGCCTGCTGGCTGACCCACATCACTGACCTCTCCAGGCTGCCAGACTGGCCTTTCCAGTCCCCTTTCTCTCTTCCTCCTTCCTGAGGCTATTGCATCAGAGCAAGGCAGCCTTTGTACCCTGGGCGCGTGAGCCAGAGCATCTCTATCAGGGGTCATGGGTGCAGAGTTGAGTCGTGTGATGTTTATTTGCCCTTGGGATTGCTGCTTTGCTGGGCTTGTGTTTAATGGGTGACTTTGTGGCCTGGGGGTGAGGGCGGGGGGGAGGTCTAGCCTGCATTATCTCCTGGCTCATGACTCATTTACCACATCTGCTGCATGACAGGTTGGCACCTGTCCCCCACCCCTGGGCATCTGGGATGGTACGAAAGGACACCTCTCCTTACCCCATCTCCTGCTCTGTGCCATCCTTTAAAGGCTAGGGGTGTACTGAGTCATTTTTCTTTCCTTCAAAATCAGGGTGAGTCTTGTTAAACAAAGCTCGCAGGTGGGGCACTCCTCTCCCCTAAGCTGCTGAGCACGGTGCGGACTGCCCCAGCCTGGCAGACAAGCTCTCACCCTCCTTTCTCTAACTTAGGAATAGTGCAGTTTTGCGCATGGGGCAACTTCTGCTTTCGGGCGAATGGTGTGCATTTTCAGAGCAGAGTGTGGTCAGCTCTTTCTGTTTAGGTTTAGAGATGACTCAGGGGTGCCCCAGAGCTTGCTGCGTGGAAATTTCTGCTAAGGGGAAAGCTTGTGGGAAATTCAGAGGTGACTGAGAGGCCCCCTGCTAATCATGGTAGGAACTTTTACTTTTATCAAGAACTTTTGTTTCGGGGGTAATTTCCACATGCTCAACCTTCTTTTGAGTAACTGTGTGTCATTTAATGCAGGTGTTTCTTGAATAATCGCCACGGAGTTGGGACTGTCTATGGCACCGAGTAGGTGTATGTACTTGCATTATTTTTGTGCCCGGACTTAGCTACTATTTCTCTCACACTGTGTGCCAAGTACTGTTCTGAGCACTTTACACGTTTAATTCTTTTAATCCTCACTATGTCTCTTATGAGGTAAATCTTTACAGATGACAAAACGGAGCAACAGAGAGGCCAAGTTGGTTGTAGTAAGTAGCTTTTATGATGGCTGTGATGGTCCCTGCCCCTGGCGCCTGCCCCCTGTGTAATCTCCTCTGTTCACGTGACAGCTGGACCTCCCAACTCGCTTTAAATGAATAGAATACAGCCACAGAGATAGAATGTCACTGTCCAGATTAGGTTACAAAAGGACTAAGACTTCTGTCCAGCTCTCTATCTCTGCCTGTCCCTCTCTGAGCCCTGTCCGTGGGTGAAGCCACCTGCCACGCTGTGCGCAGCTCTATGAAAAGGCCCAAGCTGCAAGGAACTGATGTTTGTGGGCAACGTCCAGCCAAGACCCCAGGCCTGGCAGATAGTTTGATTGCCCCTATGAGACCCTGAGCCGGAGGACCCAGCTAAGCCGACAGACAGAAACTGTGAGACAATAAATGTTTGTTGTTTCAAACCCCTAAGTTTAGGGGTAATTTGTTACACAGCAATATGTAACTAGTACACTTGTCCAAGGTCCAAAAGCTTGTGTGTAAAAAGAAATGCAAAGTATAGACCCTCTATTTTTTTCTCTTAAGTTATTTCTATTGTAATGCCACTTAACTATATAGAAACAACCTAGGAGAAAGGTTTTTGTGATTATTGTATATAGCTATAAAAGCAGAAGAAATTAGAATACCAAAAAATCCAGAATTCATGTTTTTATTTCTTATTTTGATATTCCTATTTTTAAAGTGGTAATTTCATGTGATGGAAGATGTACTAAAATGAAATAGTCGTTTATTTTGGAAACAACCTTGATGTCCATCAAGAGGAAAATGAGCTATTTAAAGCCATCCTACAAAATCCTCTGCAACTTGGAAAAGGTCTCTGAGACAAAGTGCTATATGAAAAAAGCAAGTTGCAAACCAGAAACCCCCAAACAATCCCATTTATGTAAAAAAGAACCATGCAAAACAAAACTAGTATTTCTTTACTTGCTTAACAGGGACTAGAAAGATCTGGAAGGGCACAGTGGACTGATGACAGTGCCGGTTTCTGGG